CCATGAAACCCGTTATTGCACTGTCTCTGTAGCCATATAAATGCTATTGCTTATAGCCGTTCACGCCCCACCTTCCCTTTATACGACTGGAGGGGCTCGATGTGGGCAAGGATTTGCCTGCGACGGTATTCCAGCTTCCTGTCCCAGTGTCCTGCTGAGTCAAGAAGCCTTGGTTTACGCCAAGCGTGTCTGTGCTTAAGAGAGCAAAACTGCCTTTGGCGTACAGCTCCGGTCAGCACCCGACCATGCCGGCTGATTCCAACCGCAGGTTTTCCCCAGGTAGAGATGCTGCTTTCATCAGTGATTTCACGGAGCCTAGCAGACAACTTTAATTTTAAATCCAGTGTTTTCCCTCCAGCCCATTTTCTAAACAGTCATTAGTTACCAAAAATCATACTGTCTGTATTTTGAGCCCACTTTTAGCCGAGAAGGGTGATTCCGACTACACCCTGCAAATGCTCCGTGTGCATGCCACAAGCCATTTTGACGTATGGTTATCATACCATGAATTAAAAAAGGATCTTCTCCGCGCAGTAATTCACGTGAGCCCAAAATAAATACTGGCCTTTGTATGGGGTTTCCATCATGCGAGTACTAACCAGGTTGGCGGAAGGTGCACGGAGGGTTGACGGAGCTTTGCCAGCTCAGCTTTATTAGGACTTTTCCATGCCAGAGCGTTCCTGGGTGTGGCCAGTGAGATTTCCAGCCTTTTTTCCTGTGAAGGTAGTACGGAGGGTCCGAGTGCTCGGGACTGGTTCTTGCTTCGCCTGCTTCGCTCCTGGATTGGCAGGGTGAGAGATCTGGCCGTGCAGGGCATTGCTTGGGGGGGTTGTTTGGAAACTGCAGCTTCGGTACAACATCTCTCAGAATTTGTGGATGACCAGGAGGGACACAAGGAATATGTTCCTGCAAGGGAGAGGATCCTTAACACTGCAATTCCCTTCAGTGGTTCACATAAGTCTACACTATGTTCCAACCTAGAAAAACCCACTTTTTTTGTTAAAATCTTAGTTAATATGAGATGCTTGAGTTCCATATCGCTCTAGGCACTGTGTATTTTGGCAGCAGACTTGTCCTGGAGTGAGTTGGCTGTACCACATGTTCTTCCGCCCAGCTCCTGTGTGCAGGGCGAGTTTGATCACTGCTAACTATCACAGGGTAATGCCATGATGACTGGAGGGAGATTTCTGGGCCCTATGCAATTCTTGGGGACTGCGTAAAAAGACACCAGGTTCTATCAGAATAAATCAGACGATAGTGGCCGAGCAAACTCTTTCCATCTGTAAAGGCAAGGATGGGATTAGAAAAGTTTGGGAAAGCAGATTATAGGAACTGAGGTTAGATGAATTTTGTTTCTTAAATCCTTGAAGGTTCAGTTGTAGTTGAGTTCATTTCGTTTTCCAAGAGAAACAGCATGGGGAACTACTGAAACACAATAGATGTTTTCCTGGGGAATTTCGGAACCCCCTAAATGACAAACCCTGCCCTTGGGCATCTCCAGCAGTTTAGAGTGGGCAGGTTACCAATGTATCCACATTTTTGAGCGCTTTGTCAATCTGACCCTTTTTACAATGTCAGATAATGCCTCAGCCCGTACAAAATGCAATCAGTACCGAGATCTTCCATGCCAAATTAGGACTCAGAAATGTCACAGTTGGGCAATCCCTATGTTTCCCAGTTGTGGGTGGGTAACAGGTTTTTTGCATCTCTGTGTCCCTCGTTTCGGTCCTGGCTGCCTGCAGAGTGGGGCAGGCCCAAGGCTTGTTCTCGCTGAGCTGTCTGCAGGGCATTCTGCCTGCGGCCTTGGTCCCCCAGTACACACCCTGCTCTGCCTGTGTCTCATGGGTGTACCCAGCCAGGCAGCTGCCAGGGGAGCAACAGGCAGACTTTAGGATCGTTTCCCTCCCTGTCCTATTCCATACAGGGAACAATAGCTGGGAAAAGAATACACATCAAAGGGCCAGGTAACTCCTCCGTGTGACTTTGTTTCACGTAGGCACGGGGTATAATGCACCTTTTCAGTTCCTTTTCTCTGCTCGTTCGTCACGTGGCCACCAGCAGGACAGAGCTGCACCCCTCAGAGCACGCAGAAGGCAGTCCGGGCGCTGGGAAGGGCGCCCGCTGCCCTGCACGCCTGCCCAAGCCGCTGGTGTATGGTGGTGCCTGGCCGTGGCCAGGGAGCTGCGGAGTTCCCCCGAAGGGAGTGGGGGGCAGTACACACGGCCTGTCTTGCTTTTCCCGGCAGGAACCCTTACTTCTATTACCGTTATTCTTGTATTAGTTATTGTTCCCTGTCTGGGTCCTGTCTGCTTGCGTATGGGGCCGGTCTGTGGAGGAAACGGCTTCCGCTCATCATGATCGAGAGCATAGGAAATGCTTCCCATGGCCCAGTGCCACACTGATGTCTGCGGTTCTTTCGTTGCCTGAATTACGTAGGGCTCTGAGCTCCCTACTCAAACGGGGCTCAGGGGAAGCCGTCCTTTCCCGCACAGGCCCGCAGCACCACCGGACGAGCTAGATAAGCGAGGGACACCACCAAGCGAAGCACTCACCTTTGGGCTGCCAGCTGCGAACGCAGCAAGGCTGCAGCCATCTGGGGGGCCCAAGACACAGCCATGCTTCATCATGGGGTCTCAGGCCCACGAGGGACAGTGTCCGTAAGGCTTCAAGAGCAGAAGGGCCCTCGTCCTTTGGATAAAACCACCCCCACAAACTCAGTCATCCCTGCACGCTGCCTCCTCCCTGTATATGGCCTTTCTTTACTCACTGGTAGCACGGCGAGGGCTTAACGTGGGCTTGCATGATGTATATGCTCCTGGTGCCCCGCATCGCCGGCCAAAGCAGCACTCTCCCTCACGACTGTCAGCACCCCTGCCGAAACGAAGGCCTGAGCCAAGAGGGACTTTATCTTGTGCGCAAATACAGATTTGACATTTTTTCCAGCCCCGCTCAGGTCAGTCATTAAAAGCCTAGGAAGTGAGCACACATGAAATCATTCCTTCCGCACAGGCAGACAGATGGAGAGAAATTCCAGCCTGTTTCCACTCTTTTGTCTTCAGGGCATTTTTGGAATTTCCTTCAGGAAGTGAGGTGGTGACCCAGAGCCTTCCTCGGCGAGTAGGCTCTCGATTCCCACAGTAAACCCTGCACGGCGATGACACACAGCACGAGAAGGTGAGGTTTATCTTCACACTCCAACTGCATCCTGTATGAGCTCCATGGAACTTAAAAGTAATGCCAAGAGGGAACGGCCGCAAGAGAGGAAACAGTGGCCAAGCCTTTGGAAGAAGAAACGCAGTACCTATCCAGCTCCACAGCCACAGGCTTTGCCGGGGGACCCACCAGAGCTGCAGTGGTTACGAACCGGCGGCCACCGTTCTGCGTTCCGTGAACTTCCTTCATCTTTGAATCAGCTAGAATTACGCGTACGGATTATGCTGTGATAGAAGTGAGTTATTTCACTTGTGGGACTCCAGGCGGTGAGGACCGGCAGGCGTCTGTTTGTTCTTCCGTCTGGCCTTCTTTGGCTGCCGGAGAAAAACTGCTACTGTAAAGATTCCTTAAATGGCATTTCACCAACACAGCACGTGCTGATGAGAAATTATATTCTAGCATTCCTCTGTATTTCACACGATCCTGCACGTGGCATTCCGCATCTTACGTCCCCGCAGGACTGCCGTAATCCCCACACGTACTGAAATCAAGGAGTCCTCTCACTGCCGAGAACCCATGCCCGGCACGAAGCCGCCCCCAACAGTACAAGACTACTAGTAATCCCGTAACAGATTCTTTACAAAAATCAGTTTATTAATGTTTAGAAGTCAATAAAGCTATGTGCAAATTGAACAGTAAAAGTCAGAAACCTTTTAAATACTATTTTTTAAACCAGAAAACAACACATCAGTTTAATTGCACTGGAACTTTTACTACAAGGCAATATATTTGCTTTACAAAATACCACTTCTAGGAATTGCCAATAACCGTGAATGAGTGGGCTGCTCTCAGCTGCCCCACATACACCACTTTTGTTACAGTAACTCTCTAGGTGCACCAAGACCCCTGCATCTGACCGACTTATGTACATTGTGCACACTCAACCCCATTAGCACAGGTTAGAAAAACAGAGGAGTAGAGCTGGTGCTGTAAAACAAATACATTCAGTTTAACGACAGGTACTTCTTCCACGAGCTGATATGATACAGACGTCTTGGCTGGAATTACGGAGATTAATGAGATGTGCCAACACGTGTTGCAGTTTGTTACGGAAGTGCACTTATCTATAGCCATTTCACCTCAGCGTTCCTTTCGTTTGTCTGAAACTCAGGGTATTATTTTCCATTTCCTGACTGATCTCTGCTGTTGGGAAGACTGTGAACCTGACACTGAAATGCCCCTTCAGTTTTTCACTGTTCTTCAGCAAAACCCCTGGGGCTGTCACCCTACGCCACTACATCTACCATCAGTCTTCAAGAGAAAGGACCTTTAGTTCTACCTTGCGTGCGTGGCGATAACGGTCTGCTTAACGCTACAGAACAAGGCAGTCAGCGCGTGGGGCCGAACGCTGCCCTGCGCTGCTCCGTCCAACCGACGCAGTCAACAGAATGGTTCGGGTGAAGGCAACCGCCGAGTCTGGCTCGTGGGCTTCCAATGTGATGCGGACCGCCAGCAAGAACTGACAGCTCTGACCTTGCTAAACAAACCCCACCAGCTCTGGACTCTGCACACGGAACCCTGCGCCCCCACTAAGAACTCCGGGAAGCGACGCCAAGTTATGGCTGTACACGGTCTTGGTTACATCTGTGTGATCTCTCCTTGTTATGTGCTAAACAAATGCTTCTGACCAGCTACACCAGAGCCACCCCTAAACGCGGCACAGAAAGATCTTTGTGTCAGTGGTTTGCTGCAAGTAAAGGAGAAATAACTTCACATTCTTCTCACAGCGGGAAAAAAAAAAAAGATTCATCCTCCCTCTCCCTCCTCCCCCTCTCTCTTTCTCTCACACACACCAGGCGTCGTTTCACCCAGGCATCAGTCTTTCAGAGTTGCTAAGGAGATTGCAGGAGATGAATGCGCCTGACAATCCTGAGCTGCCTCGGTGCAAAGACAAAACATGCTCCAGGGAAAAAGGCTTTCAGGCCAGAACAGTCTGTCCCATTTCTTGAGCTCCAGCCTCGCAAATGCACCGCTTGCCCCGTCAGAACTAATGCTACTTGCTCGCTTGGCCCAGCGCTGCCGCGAGCAGCGGGCGTCTCAGCTCCCCAGGTGCAGAGGAAGGCTCGCACGTACCCCCCACAGTTACTCCTAAGAAGATGAGGTAACATTGCCCGAAGACATGATGGTTTCCGGATGGTCGCCTTCCTCCTTCTGCGGGTGGGAGGAGTTGTCGGACTTACTCCGGCTGAACTCCATCCCTCCAATGATCGGCCTCTTGAATTTGGTCCTAGAATCTGCTGGGGGACATCTGCAGCAGCACAAGATCTTGATGAAAGCCCTCCGCATCTCTTTGTTGGTCAGGGTGTAGATGATAGGGTTCGTGGCTGAATTGAGCACGGCCAGTACTAAGAAATACTCTGCTTTGTAGAGGATCGGGCAGGCCTTCACCTTGCAGCCCACATCCAGCAAAAGCAGGATGAACAAGGGAGCCCAGCAGGCGATGAAGGCACTCAGGACTATGATCACTGTCTTGAGCAAGGCCAGCGACTTTTCCGAGCTCCTGGTAGCTTTGGTAATGTTTTTCCGAAATGTCAGCCTGCGGCTCCTAGTCCTCACCATGGAGTAGATCCTGCAGTAGAGGACGACGATGGAGAGCAGGAGGCCAGTGAAGACAGTGGTGCAAAAGAGAATATAGTGCTTGTGGTAGAGGGGCAGCACGGTGGAGCAGTTGGACAGGAGGCTGATGCAGTTCCAGCCCATGATCGGGAGGCCCCCCAGGATCACGGAGATGACCCAGCAAGCACTGATCAGCAAGAAGGAGCGGAAGCTGTTGCTGCCATTGTGGAGTTTCATCTTCAACATGGTGATGTATCTCTCGATGGCAATGGCCAACAGGCTGAACACGGAAGCTGACAAGGCAACGAACATGCTGCCCTCCCTCACAAACCACTGGGAGGGCGTGAGGCTGTAGGTCTTGTGTCCGGACAACAGGAGATTGGCAGTGTAAGCCACACCGGCCAGCAAGTCCGAGAGCGCCAAGTTCCCAATGAAATAGTACATGGGCCTGTGAAACTTCTTGGTTTTCCAGATGGTGAGCAAGACAAAAATGTTCTCCAAGATTATAAAGCAGCAAATGATGATAAAAACCACCGATGTCACTTTTATTCCACTGTCCGCATTCTCATTTAGCTTCCCCGTGTAATTATAATGCTCTTTGATGACATAGTTGACGTCAGTGTTGGCGAGGCTGCCGACGACCTTCAGCGGGGCGGTGGTGCCGGAGCTCATGGTGCCCGGCTGGGCGCCGCTCCCCCGCGGCCACCAGACACGGACGCCGAGCG